GACAGACAAAGCCTCCCTGTACTGAAAATGAAATGCAGCATCATCCAGGATGGCCTCTTCCCCTTGGTGTTTGATGGGTGTTGCACTGTTCAGTGTTCTATACTTTTTGGGAATACATGCATGTATGTCTTTTCGGGTTGGGAGTTATGGGTAATTTGGCAAAGCAAACACCGTAACTGGTTTCTTACATAACTCTACAATTGGCAGCAAGGCACAGTGTGTTGAAATTAAGCAACACTCGCTCATCCAAGAGGACTTTGCTTTTCCTTTTTTGGAAGGCGAAATGCCCTGCTTTTTTTTTTTTTTTTTTTTTTTTCCCCCTGTTACATGTATTTTAAATTATTGGCTGACTTTAATGATTCTTTGAAGTTAATTTTTAAATGTGAATGGCAGGATTCCATTTAACTTCTGGAAGCTTGAGAGCTGTCCCTGTGTGCCCCTAAATTAGGGATTGCTTAAATTACTTGAGTGCTTTTAGGTGATAATAGAATTGGAGAGGATGAGAAGAATGTAGGACCCAGGCTGCCGTAAAGATCTAAACTGGTAAAATGCTTAGAAGGCTCAAGAGTCACAACCTTTTGAAAGAACTGGAGTCAGTCTTGCATCCCAGTGTACTTCTCCAAACCAGGCATCTTCCTTGCATCCTCCCTTTCAATTATAGCGTACATTCTTTCCATTTATTCTTCCCTTCCTTTAAGCAGGACCTCTTAACCCATTTATGCCTAGTGTTCCATTATTGGAATGCTAAGCATGTGGGCATTATTTATATCCTACTGCTCAAGGTCATTGCCAAGGTCTGATTGCAAATATTCAAAAAATTGCAACGTCTGGCCTAAATGGGTTAATGCTTCTTTGCTCAGTTTCAAAGGCTAGATTCTCTCAAGTATTTTTGTGTCCTTTGCCTGAATTCAACAGAGGTTTGAAAATGATCCAAGTGTTGCATATTCCCAGTTCTCAAATTATAATAATAAAGTTTTTAAATGAAAATCCTAGGATTGTTTTAGGTTCTCTTTGCTGCATTCCACTGTGGGATACAAGTGGAAATTGGAACATTCATCCAATAAAATGTTATTGGGAAAAAAAATTTTTTTAACTACATTTCAAAACGATTCCTCTTTTTTTCCTTTAAAATTTTTATTGACCAAGACAGATTTCAAAATGTTTTCTCTAATAGCCCAAAGTGAAACTTTGATTGAGGTTTTCAGGAAATTCCTGGGATCCAGCATGTCACCCAGACTTTGGTCTCCAGGTTTCCCAAAGCCTTGAAATTTCCCTAGCGTCTAATTGCTGTTTACTGCCACAAACCTTCATCCTTTTTCTTCTGTAACATTTTCCATCTTAAGAAGGGTCGTCCCATTCGGCCGAGGAGCGTGTTGTCTGAGTAGCTGAATGGAATTACTACCAGTGGAAACTATGCTGCAAGAGGGGTTGATAAAGCAGCTGTGAAGCAAACCTCAGCTGTTTTTTCCATTCTCCCCAAGCAAAGTTAATTAGCATAGGGAAAATGACTAAGGTGTTGACGTCACCTCTTTCCAGTAGAAACTTACACTTTGTCCCTGTCTGCCTGCAAGCATGCAGGACTTGACTCAGGAATTTGCTGTCCAAACAGGATGCTGTGGAAGCTGCATTTTTTTTTTCCCAGGGAGTGGGGGCTGGCCCTCACTGCTTTATAAGCACTGGCTCAAGAAGAAACCTACAGCCTCTTGGAAAGGAATCTCACTAAGGGCTTGACTGCGTGGGTCTCTAGCGCTTTCACTGTGAAAAAGCAAGATGCATTTTAGAAACTTTAACTACAGTTTTAGCTCCCTGATTGCCTGTGTGGCAAACAGTGATATCTTCAGCGAAAGTGAAACCAGGGTAAGGCTTCTAATATAACGTGATTTTCTTTAGTTTTCAAAGTATTCTGCTAATTGGGACTATTAACTGAAATATGTGGGGGAAGGTGGCTCTCTTGTGGATTTGGGGGTTTTGAAAGAAATCCAAAGTCTCTTGAGCCTTGAAAATCAAAAACTGTTGCTTGAGGAATTAACTGAGGGAGGAATTTGTAAAGATTTCCGTATTTGACAACATCCATGTCCCTGAACCAGCTAACTAGGAAGGCAAGAGTTGGGGCGCTGCATGTTTTTCATTCTGTGTATGTTGTAAGTAAACTTTTCAGGAGGAGGCCTCTTCTGACATGAATAGTGCTTTACTTTTACAGCCAGAGTGGTGAATCTGGGAGCCACTTCATTTCATCTTAGGAAATAAATGTTATAAAGATATTTATATGTTTGCAGTAATTACAAGGGCCTGGCCTCAAGCTCCCAGATTTCTCTAACAGAGAAAATGCGGCTAGAGCAAATAAAAAAACTGGAGAAATTAAGTGTGAGATCAGTGTGCCTCCTGGGCAGCAGCTCTCTTTGATGGTGATTAATAGGGTCACTTTAATCATTATACTTTTCTTCTTCATTGGATTAAAATGTAAGTTTTTTCATCAGTAGCTACCCAGCTATCTAATTGAGCTTTAGTAATATTGTACAGGAATGAATCTTGTATGTTCTATTTGAGGGGTGGTGTTTGTGCTTGGTGGTGTTACATGCTTTATACACAAAGCCATATTGGGACATGCAAAGGTTTCTTTTTTAAAAAATCAAATGTAATACTTACCTGGCAGGGGAGATTCCATGACCACGAGGGTGGTTTTCCCCGGGCAAGGCTTATCCATTGCACTCTGGATGTGCTGAACCCCTGCGATTTCCCCAAATGTGGGAAACTCGACTGCATAATTTGTGATAGTGGGGGACTGCGTTCGCGCTTTCCCCTAAAAGAAAAGAACAAAAACCGAATGTAACTCCATAATTGTATATGATGCTTATGAGCTGGAACCGTAGTGTTTGGACTAGATCACAGAGCACATTCTGTGTTTTTAAAGTTAGTGTACTTAGCATTAGCCTTATGTGAGTAAAATCGTTTCTTTAAATGAAATAGAGATGCCATCCAACAAGTACAATAACTAGATATCAGTTATTAGAACAAATCAGATTATTTTGTAAGAGAATGGCATCATAGTAATCTGGATTGTAAAGATACTGTGAGTTCTCTTTTGTTCTGGTCCTAAGCCCTGAACCTGTATTCTAAAAATATTCTTCAAAGTCATCTGTCCCAAATTCTGAATCATAACTTCACAACTACACGGTGGATCACAGTGCCTATTGATGAGGTCATGCAAAATTCCAGATGTACAAAGACACACTTTTGCCAGAAACTTGCCCGTGCTCAAGAGAGGTGGGGAAAGTGAGAGGCGGCCAGCTGAGCTCCACTGCCCGCCAGCTCTGCACTGTTTCACACGTGCCTCTGCAGGACCCCTCGTGGGAAAGTCTCAGAAGTGTTCATAAACTCAAGAAACTCTGGAGATGCAAGGAGAGCAAGGTCATGGGTTCTTCCAACTCCCGCTTAAGGACCTGCCTGGCAGAGACTGGCTACCGGCTACTACCCATTCCTATCCTCAGCTTCATGTGGAGCAAGAACCATCCGCCCATGCGCCCACCCCACACCCGTCCCCTGCACGCTTCCTAGCAGTAACACTCCTGAAGACATTCTCTTCTCTTATCCCAAATCCTCCCTCCGGTTGCTGAGACACTGCGCCTTCCATAGCTTCTCCAAGGTCCTCAGTGAGCTCTGCCCACGCTGCCTACCATCCACGCCCTGCGCCATCCCCTTCCTCCTGGCCAGCCTCTTCTGCCTTTCACACACGCTCCCACAAACTCTCCTAAGTGTTTTCTCCTGGTAAAAAGATTCACAAAACCCGGCGACTAGAAGCCCATGCGGTCTTCGTTGGAGCTCTGACTGTCCACCAGTTACACTCCCTCTCCCGCCACCGACATCCACACTCCAGGATCCAGCCCAGGGGGTTCTCCCCTGAGCAACCTAAACTTGTCATCCCCCACCTCGGGCTTTGCATTCTAAGAGCTCATGACATCTAATTCTCACCAGCCCTATGGCACCAGAGCAAGATGTGCACAGACATGAAAGCCAGGATGCAGGAAACTGTCCATTTGCAGAACATTAATTTTTAAACCAGGATCATTTTGGAGTTAAAAAGTAACAGACTGAGATAAAAACAATCATGGAAATTTTTTTAAACTACTTATTTTAAGAAGTACAAAAAACTTTCTATCAACTTCGTTATTTTACAAGTCAGCATTTTTTTTTTCAAGTTACCTGTGGTGCTTTTAAGCCTTAAACATTTGATGTACACAACATCGCTCTGAGCTGAACAGCGGTATTGGAGTTGGCTAGCCAGGGAAGGCTTATAAGACAGAGAAACATGGGCGGGGGGGCAGGGGGAGGTCATAGGACAGAGAAACCTGGGGGGGATGGGGAACAAATTATCAAACTGTACCACGCTGGAAAATGCTCATCCTACTTTTTAAAAAAGTTTGTTACCATAAGAAGTATCTATGTATCGGCAATTGTTCTGCTGATTAGATGAATGCCGTAAATCATACCTTCTTACCTTCTTGTAAAATTACCTGCATTAGGACTAAAAAGCCACAGTCTCCTAAAATGGGAAAGGCTTTTCTCTAAGAAAGAAGTTAGGAGTTCTTGAAAGGGTTGATGATCCACTTCCTCATTTAAGAAATGTATTGAGGAAGCCCTGGGCACCGTGGCTCATGCCTATAATCCCAGCACCTTAAGAGGCTGAGGCGTGCGGATCACCTGAGGTCAGGAGTTAACCAGCCTGGCCAACGTGGCAAAACCCCGGCTCTGCTAAAATACAAAAATTAGCCAGGTGTGGTGGCGGGCACCTGTAGTCCCAGCCACTCTGGAGGCTGAGGCATGGAAACTGCGGGAAGTGGAGGTTGCAGTGAGCCAAGACCATGCCACTGCAATCCAGCCTAGCTGACAGAGAGAGACTCTGTCTCCAAAAAAAGAAAAGAAAAGAAAAGAAAGACATCATCTAGTCAAAGGTCATTTGCAGGTAAATTTCAACCCCTTTTATTTTTATTGTTATTTTACAGGCCAAATTTGAGTCTCTCTTTAGGACATATGACAAGGACATCACCTTTCAGTATTTTAAGAGCTTCAAACGAGTCAGAATAAACTTCAGCAACCCCTTCTCCGCAGCAGATGCCAGGCTCCAGCTGCATAAGACTGAGTTTCTGGGAAAGGAAATGAAGTTATATTTTGCTCAGGTGAGTTGGGTTCATTCCTATGCAAGCTTCTGCCTCCTCTCCCTCGCTTTTGCAAAGTAGCTTCTACGTTGCTTATGTTATAAGCTGATTGGAAACTCTAAGACTTCATCTTGAGAAGGGGAAAGTTCCTACTCTGAATGTTCAGCATCTCACCTGTTTTAAGAAGATATCAAGGTGCATTTGAAAGCAACCTCAGAAATCACCCCTGACCTTCCTGGGTTGATAACAACGGGGGAAGGAAAAGGCCTTCCCTGTTCACTGGGGAGCTTGCAGGGTGCAGCGCATGGGCATGGCTACACAAACTCCCTGAGATTTGCACAGCAGGTTTCCGCGAATTTGCTGGAGGATTGGAGCTAACGACCCACTCTAGACTGCGCAGACCAGAGCGGTTCCCAGCCCCTGTGGTGCTGGGGACACTCAGCAGAGAAAGAGGAATCTGCAGAAGATGCCTGCAAATCCACCCAGGGCTGCTAGGCCTGGCTTGAAAGGAAAATATGGGGTAACCAGACTGGGCACAGATGCTAAGAAACCCTCTGGCTGGCAGGGGTCCCCGCCCCAGGGTACCCACGGCAGGGAGAGGGTTAGCTGGGGGTGGGTTTGCTTTTTCTCCTGCCCACTATCATTTTGAACCTCCTCTGGGGAACCTAGGGCAGGTGACCCACCTTCCGGGCAGCTCCCAAAGTTCCATTTGATGTCCCTAGGGGCTGACAGATTGTCAGGGAAGAGGAAAGGAGCTTCTAGAATGCGGGTCCTTGGTGAAGTGAGTCTCCCTCAGGCTCTGAGCACCCCTGTTTCTCACACCCACACACACACACACACCCACACACACACACACACACACACACACACACGCCTTGCTGGGATGGGGGAGGACTCTGTCCAAAGGCTTCCCAGCAGTGAAAGGAGTCTCATCTGGCTCCACGCCAGAGAGCCGAAGTGCCTTTTCTTCCCCGGAGTGAACTTGCTGGGCCCTTCAGGTATAAAGTAAAGCATTTGGGATCCCTGGCCCACCCCCAGCCTTTCTGCCCTGGGAGGCACAGGCTGAGCTGTAACCTTGGCTGCCTAGGGCTTCCCTTGTGAGTACACTCCTTTCTGCCCTGGATGAGATTTTATGCAAATAAGTACTCATTACTCCTCTGACCTTTTCTGGTTGTGAAATAATGCATATTCATTGCGAAAATGTGGGGAAGGCAATAGCGAAGTGCAGAGAAAACCTGTACCCCACAGCCTGCAAGGGGAAGGCAGCATTTTTAAAGTCTCCTGGGAGGTGGCTTTTTTTTTGGGAGGGGACTCTGATCAGGAGTCCAGGGACGGAGGCTCGGGGCCACCGCTCGGCAGGGAAGCCTGAGGTGGGGGGAGCCCTGGCTCCCTGTCCCTGAAAAGCTGTTGCTTAGTCTTTGGACTTTCAGAGTGTGCACCGGTGGTTTGAGGAGCAGGGAGAAATTGATTCCAAGAGCCCGCCTGACCTCAACGACAGCGACTTTAACTTTCCACGTATACTAAAGTCACCTGTGCTGATTTTCTGTCCTGTCTAGGTCAAGTATAATCACTTGGCAGTCCCTGTGCCTGTGAGTCCCACAGCCCTGGGAGGGGGCTGTCATCCTGCCTGCACCATAACCAGAGTTCAGGTGTCCTTTGACCCTCCCCGTTACAGACTATATTACAATAGGTCGTGGAATCCCACCTGTCCTGACGCCTGGACTTTGACCTGCCCCATCTCCCGGGAGCTGCCGTCGGGTGCTGCTGCCTCACTGCAGGCCTTCCCTGGCTACTGACCTGTGCTGCTTTTCTCTCTTCAGACCTTACACATAGGAAGCTCACACCTGGCTCCGCCAAACCCCGACAAGCAGTTTCTGATCTCCCCTCCCGCCTCTCCACCAGTGGGGTGGAAGCAAGTGGAAGACGCAACCCCAGTCATAAACTATGATCTCTTATATGCTATCTCCAAGCTGGGGCCAGGTGAGCAGGGCCCTCAGGCGGGAGGGAGGCGGGGGGAGGCACACATGCTTCCCTGCACTGGAGAGCAGTACCCTCACTGCTCCTGTAGCTGTTGTGAACTGGTGCAGTCATGTTTGGGGAGCAGTCTCTCTCTGTATTCTTTTGTGCCACTGTCCCTTGTGCTGGGAGCGTGCCTGCCTCTTGGTGCCACCTGCAGGGTTAGGGAGACTGGGCTGATCGTGGGGCCCTGCACCATGGCCCCGCTAGTAGTGTCCCAGGAATCCAGTTCCCGTTTCCACTCAGCACAGCTGGTGTCGGAGGCCTGAGCCCCGGCGCCAGGTCCTGTCACCCCAGATAGGCATGAGGGATCGGACTTTGGAAAGGGAACATAGATGCCCCCTTTAAGAAATGTTATTTTTAATCAAGGTAAATTCACCCTTTCCTGTACTCTTGCCTGGCCTTCTTTTTTTTTTTCTTTTTTTTTTTTTTTTTTGAGGCGGAGTCTTGCTCTGTCCCAGGCTGGAGTGCAATGGCGTGATCTCGGCTCACCGCAACCTCTGCCTCCCAGGTTCAAGCTATTCTCCTGCCTCAGCCTCTGGGGTAGCTGGGATGGCAGGTGTGCACCACCATGCCCTGCTAATTTTTGTATTTTTAGTAGAGACCATGTTGGCCAGGCTGGCCTTTAACTCCTGACCTCAGTGATCCACCTGCCTCAGCCTCACAAAGTGCTGGGATTCCAGGCATGAGCCTCACCTGGCCTTAAAGGAAGGAGACCCATAGGCCACAGTGAGGGAAGAGCCGCAGTCAGGCTGCCCCACCCCGGGGCCCATGGGCTGGTCCTCTGCAGACCTTGTCAAAGGGGAAGGTTCCCATCCTCTGGAGGGACAGAAGTGTGAGCACTGGGGGGAGGGGGCAGGTTCCTCGGGATCTTTGTCCAAAATGTGGGCCTTCCCAGGTGGAGTTATGAGCAGCAGATGAGCTCACGGAGTGAAAAGCACTTCAGTCTGTGCCTGGCTCACTGTCAGCGGCTCAGGGCAGGTTTTTTGAAAACCATAAAATGTAGGTCGTTCCTGTCCTGTCTGCTAGGGTTTGAGTGAGGAGGCAGGTGTGAGGGAGGGTCTTGGGTTGAAGAGGTTTGGGCCTTGTCCTGCTCTGTCCCTGGAGCAAATCAGATAAATGCTGAGACCATCAGCTCCTCGTTTCTCCTTGACCAGCAATCTGATGTTCCCTTGGGTTGAGGGTGTCATTTTCTTGGACCATCAGCAGTTTCATAATGAAAACATTACATTTCTGAAAAATGGAAATTCCCTGTGTGGGAGAAAGCAAAAGTCACGTTACTTACTGCTAATTGTGGCGTGAAGGTCAAGATCAGAAATGGTCAGTGTGAGGAGGCGTGTGCTCCCCCTACGGCAGCGCCTGGCCGGGGCCGTGAGCAGAGCTGAGGGTGTGGAGTCTCTCCTGAGGTCAGGGATGGGAGGAAACGGGGTCTCCACCTGCAGAGAGGTGTCAACTCTTCCAGAGGCAAGTGCTACTGATAAAAATTCATACTCCAGAACCCCACCTCCTTCACAGAGGGCTTATTAGAGAAGGCTTTTTAGGAAACAGACAAAATAAACAGTTTGTCCTTGGTTCACTTAACAATAAGCTTAAGTGAGATTTCATATTTCACTTGTGCTTTTCAGCCAACAGGATTGCAGAGATTTTGCAAATTATGATCCTAAACCCTGAGCTTTCTGGATTTGGGCTGATGAGTAGTTAGATAAGAGACTTGCAAAGAGGGAGATTTATAAGAGGCTCTTAACCAGCATTTCCAGCAATCCATCGGACTCTCCATCCTGAATTCTCTCTCTCAGAAAGCTGAAGCTCCTTTGCTTTTCTGAATGCAGTTATAACAACATTCCAGTCCCATGTACGACAGAGAAAAGACCACCATCTTCTTTATGAGTAAAAGTCCCTTCCAGGTTTAGAGGAGTAACCGGTACAGCTGGAGGTGGGAAGCTCTGCTGAGCCGCTCTTGCCCAGTGGAAATCAGTCATGTGATGGGCACACAGTGGCTGGTGAGGTACCTCCTCAATTACCCAGAACTACAAAGGAATCCCAAGCCCTGGAGGACAACTCGTCCCGGGGCCGCCCTGGGAATGGAGCAGGTTGAAGCACACCACCTGCCCCAAATGCACGTCCCTGGCATTCTGTTACAGCTCAGCATCACACCAGTAACGACGTATCCTCCATTCTTTTTATTTTTATTTTTTTTATGAGACGGAGTTTCATTTTTGTTGCCCAGGCTGTGTGCAATGACATGATCTTGGCTCACTGCAACCCCTGCCTCCCAGGTTCAAGCTATTCTCTTGCCTCAGCCTCCAGAGTAGCTGAGATTACAGGCATATGCCACCATGCCCTGCTAATTTTGTATTTTTAGTAGGGACAGTGTTTCTCTGTGTTGGTCAGGCTGGTCTCGAACTCTCAACCTCAGGTGATCTGCCCGCCTTGGCTTCCCAAAGTGCTGGGATTACAGGTGTGAGCCACTGCGCCTGGCCACCCTTCTTTCTAGGTGACATGGATTGGACAAGCATGTGGTGAGCCGCGTTCTCAGTGCCTCGGGCACTCACTCATGCTGTTAGCTCCATGAAGTCGATACCTTTACTGTCTCCTTTACTGACAAGGGAACTGAGGTGCCCAGGAAAGCAGAATAACGTGGCCACGAACCCCGGGTACTAAGGAGTCAGGCTCAGAGCTGCCTTCATGAGCAGCAGAGATGCACACTCTTCCTGTGGCCAGAGCGGCACCCTAGCGGGAGGCCCCCGCCCCTTCACTCTGCATTGCCGGGTTCTTCGGTTGCAGAAAGCTCACCCCACCCTTGCCTGACCAGAGTGGCCTGAACTTGGCCAACCTGGTAGAACTCAGGCTGACATAGAACAGCAGGGCACTCCTGGGCCGGGGGTTAGAAGTTGTCCTAAGAACAAGGATCCCGAGGTCTAAAACGTTTCCAGAGCCCCTGGCTCCGTGCAGCACCCCCTGCGTCTGCTGCAGGGCCTCCCGTGGCTCCTTCCCTGGCATGCACTGAGACCCTCAAATAGGAGCCCAGTGAGGGGAGGCCCGGGGTTCTGTTTCCAAATGCGTATATTCATCCATCTTTTTCCCGAACCGAAGTTTCTCACGTTCACACCTGAGGAAAGGCTGACAGAGGGGGCGTTCTCCGGGTAGTTTAGGTGCCTGGTGGACATGTGAAGTGTAAGTAGAAAAATGCATTCCTTCTATACCTTTCATTTGCCTGGACTCCCAGAATGTTTGACTAGAAACAGTCATGCGCAATGGAAATATCTCTTTTCCTGAATGGGCCAGCAAAGAAATACAAATCCAAAATACGTCTGGCTGTGTCTCTCAGCCCAGCTGAATGGACGCAAGCAGCTGGCCCAGCAGAGCCCTGAATGCTCCTTTATGTTTGCCTTTTGACTCCCAAGGACTCGTCTGAGTGACCCTGCAATTATTTCCTTTCCTTAGGGGAAAAGTATGAATTGCACGCAGCGACTGACACCACTCCCAGCGTGGTGGTCCACGTATGTGAGAGCGATGAAGAGAAGGAGGAAGAAGAGGAGATGGAGCGAATGAAGAGACCCAAGCCAAAAATTATCCAGACCAGGAGGCCGGAGTACACGCCAATCCACCTCAGCTGAACTGGCACGGGACGAGGATGCATTCCAGATCATACTCACGGGAGGAATCTTTTGCTATGGAGGTGGCCGGTCACGACTTCTTCGGAGGTGGGAGCCGAGATCGGGGTGGCAGAAATCCCAGTTCATGTTGCTCAGAAGAGAATCAAGGCCATGTCCCCTTGTTCTAATGCTGCACACCAGTGACTGTTCATGGCACCCGGGAATGGCTTGGGCCAATCCCCAAGTTTGTGGTGATTGCACAAGGACATTTGGGACTGTCTTGAGAAAACTGATCATGATAGTGTTTTGTACTTGTTCTTCTCTGGTAGGTTCTGTCTGTGCCAAGGGCAGGCTGGTCAGTGGGTTCGGGAGAGAGCTTCCTGTTTCTAAGCAGCCCACAGGGTCCACTCTCTACCGGTGGGAAGAGGTACCACAGGAAGCCACCTAGTGCAGAGAGGTCGTGAAAACAGCAGCAATGCAGCGTGGAAATTGTCGTGTTTCCTTTCTTCCCTCATGTTCTCATGTTTGTGCATGTATATTACAGATTTTCAAAACTAACCTTTGTTCGTGTATGAAGTTACACCCTTGTTTTACATCTTTTGGGAAGCCAGGAAAGCATCTGGAAAACGTATCGTCTTTCCCAGATTCTCAGATTCTCGACGCTCTTTGCAACAGCACTCGCTGGTGGAACGCTTCCTGGAATACCTTCACCCAGTGTCCTAAACTGTGCAACATGTAACCTGTGCTTCTGCAAAAGCAGTCGATCTGAAGTTCCTCTGTAGTGTTTAGCTTAGACAATTCAGAGAATAGCAGTTTCACTGCCAACTTGTAGTGGGTGAGACATTTTAGTTTAGGTGTTTGGGGTCGGACATCAGTTTCTGTTATTTCTTTGGTGTGGTGGTTTCTATACATGAATCGTAGCCAAAAACTTTTTTGGAAACTGTTGGTTGGTTTTTTTACCCCACTAAGACATCAAGAAAAAGCTTGTAAATAAAGCTGATAGCATATATTCATACCTGTTGTACGCTTGAGTGAAAAGTATGGCAGTGGGAGACTGAGTTGTATTAATCTACCTGTGAATCGTGTGTCGTAGAAAGTGCTGTCCCCATGTCTAACAGGACTTGAATTCAAAGCATGTCAAGTGGATAGTAGCTCTGTGGTGATATGAGAGGGATGCAGTGCCTTTCCCCATTAATTCCTGCTGGAATTCTTATACTAGGTTTAACATTTGTAATTTTTTTCTAGTTGTAACGTGTATGTCTGGTAAATAGGTATTATATTTTGGCCTTACAATACCATAACAAAGTTTGTCATTTTGAAATACCTAATGCCAAGTAACAATGCATGCTTTGGAAATTTGGGAGATGGTTTTATTAAATGCTTTGATGGTTTATATCAAGAAATTGATTGAACATTCTCACACCCTGTTTATGGTACTTGGTATGAGGGAGCCTGTTTGGGAGAGACCATGGCATCACCGTCCAGGTGTTTCAAGTTAAGTGCTTTTAAACTGGAGAGGCTAACCTCAAAAAATATTTTTTTTAACTGCATTCTATAATAAATGGGCACAGTATGCTCCTTATGGAAAAGTTGTTTGTCATTTGATTTCTAGGATAAATCTGTGAACCTTTTAAATTCCGCAGTCTCAGGAGGACACATGCCTTTGTCTGTTTGAGCTTACAAACTCCTAATTCTGTACTGGGGTTCACAGAGGGTCTGCCACACTAAGAATGCATCACTTGGAAGAGAAGAAAATGGATAAAACTGAAATCAGAACTTTGAGTATTTCCTTTGTATAGGTGGATGCTACTGTGATGAAAATGCTGTTCACCAGTACCTCCACACAACGGCACTGGTTTTTGTCATTTGAAGGGCTTTCTTTCGTTAGAAAAGGTGTCCATGGAGGATGCTAAGTTACAGAAGCCAGTTGTCTTCAGAAGAGGCATCGATAAGCCTTCTTTTTCATCTCTGGCAGCTTTTTCCCTGGGACTCTCATTTCAAATGGTGGTGACCTTCCTGGGAAGCCCACAAAAGCCTAAATAACCCAGTGTTTCTTTGCCAAAATCTAGCAAATGACATTAATCCTGATCAAGATTAGCATTAGGTGTTCATCTATGAACTTGTTTTCCCTTTCGTAAGAACCACCATCCTGTCATTTCCAAGAGCATTTGCATATTTTCAAGCCGTATATGTTTAAGGTTTAATTGTGCTGGAAAATCCCCATGTCAATCAAGTTGGTCAAAGCTGATTATTGGACAGATTCAGGCATTGACCCCTCTAAGGAAGACAGGAAATATCCAAATAGAGACCCCCAGCAGGTCCCCTTAGATAAAGTGGGGAAAAAGCAAGTGGTCCCACTGCCAGTGAAGCCAGTAGACTGTAAAATATAAAATACAAGTCAGGCTGGGCGCGGTGGCTCATGCCTGTAATCTCAGCACTTTGGGAGGCTAAGGTGGGTGGATCATGAGGTCAGGAGTTCAAGACCAGCCTGGCCAAGGTGGTGAAACCCTGTCTCTACTAAAACTACAAACATTAGCCGGGTACAGTGGCAGGCACCTGTAATTTCAGCTACGCGGGAGGCTGAGGCACAAGAACTGCTTGAACCTGGGCAGCGGAGGTTCAAGTGAGCTGAAATCGTGCCACTGCACTCCAGCCTGGGTGACAGAGTGAGACTCCGTCTGAAAAAAAAAAAAAAAAACAAGTCAAGGAACAGGCTCACTCAGGACACCCTATGTCTTTTGAGTTGTTCTGTGGCAGCCTCAGCTGAAATTGTAAAACTAATAATGCACAAAGTCTCTGGTTCCCAGGTTGATGGGCCTGACAGTCATTGAATCATGAATGTGCCCAGGACGCACATATGGCTTTGTGGGAGAGGGGTTCAGTCAAATGTGAAACGCCTGACATTAAACAGGCAGAATCATGCAGAGTGCACACTAGAGTGCACGCTTTGCCACTGATTGAAAGTGTTTCTTCAATAGGTATTGATAGAATCTATTACTAATTTGATGCGAAACAGCTTAGGGCTGTGGAAGAAAAGAAAATTGGCCCCTGGAAATGAGTGCTAAATCAAAGCGAATGGCGGTAGATGGAGAGGAGCTGAGCAATTCCTGGAGCTATTCAGTTGCAGGCTATAAACACTGATTTGAAGTCAGCAGGCATTTAGGATTTTACATTTCCAGAATATTGTGTGTGAATGACTGCCCACAGGAGATTTGGGTTTTCAGAGAGCTTTAGTTTTACGTGAAACGTGCAGAACTCACTGCAGAGTAAATTGATTTTCTCCTATGTTAAATTGCAGGAGATTAAAAGCACTCTACGGGCATGTTATGACCAAAAGTGAATGGGCAGCCAGAGTCTGTCATATCTCACAGTGCCCGCAGAACCCGTGAAAGTTCGCCTGGGTATCACAGGTGCATATCCAGTGACACTCACCCAAAGATCAGCGCCTCAGGTGGAAACTGCATACCTAATTATCCTAAAAATTGTTCAGGAAGGAAGTACACTGCGAGTAACAAGGATTCTTCCCTCCTGCTTCTCTGGCCTCGTGATTCTGAAGTAGAACATGGAGAAAACTGTTTTCAAGTTTATCACCAGTCTTGGCAATCCTTAACTCACATCTCAAAAGTCTCACTCTGTGACTCACCAGAAGTTACACGGCCATCAGGTAGATGGGTTTGCTTCTCACACACTTCATTTTCTTCCACAGTCCTTCCCTGCTGTTCGTGAAAGGTCGTTTCAATCATAGCTGTGTTTATGAAAGACAGAAGGAAATTACTCACAAGTGATTGGGAAATGCTACCTGCATCCATCATTTCTCCTTCTTTCAAGATGCTGATGAGGGACTTGGTGACGCTTCCACACAGCAAATCAGTGCCAAGTAGATGCGGCGGCCACTGCTCAAATCCCTCTTTCAAGAGTGTCGAGGCCCCCCTGGCTGACATTTGTACTCAGGCAGCGCAGAATTTTCAGTGTTTTTAACTTACTATGTTACGTCTTTTCTCTGCCTAGAAAATGATCTCACTGTCCCAGCCCGGCCCTGCTTACCTCACAAGGAGGCCCACGACGTCCTGCTCACCCCTGTTTAAATCACCAGCAGCTACCTCTGTGCCCAGCCACACAGTTCTAGGGGCTGATTTTCTTCTTTTGCATGGCCCTAAGCTGTTTCCCATCAGATTAGTAATAAATTCTATCAAAAGCTGTTGAAGAAACGCTTTCAATCAGTGCCAAAGCATGCACTCTGCACGATTCTGCCTGTTGAATGTTGGTCGTTTCACATTTTACTGAACCCCCGCCTACAAAACAGTGCATGGGTCCTGGGCACATTCATGATTCAGTGACTTTTAGACCCATCAGCCTGGGAACCAGAAACTGTGCATTATTGCTGTCACAAGAAGTGTTACTGAAATAATTGCCGCTTTAATATTTCTCCTTCAGGTGTCCATTAGGAATGTTTCTTCCCCCTAAGAATCGTTGCCAGCTACTCCCGCTGAGTCTCCCATTATGCCCCATTATTTCCCACTGTATGGTATATTTTCTTTTTTTTAATCATAACTGTTAAATTGTTTGTCTTCCCTGTTGAAACATAATTTGGGTGGAAGTGGGATTCCTGGTAGCCAGTGGCTCACAGTAGACATTCCACATGCAAGTGGATTGGCTAGATGGAAGGATGGATGGATGGATGGATGGATGGATGGATGGATGGATGGATAGATGAATGGATGGGTGGATGGATGGATGGGTGGATGAATTGGGATTTTGGAGGAAGGGGAGTGAGCAGTCACTGAAAAGAACAGAAAAATAATGAAGCTTCTTCCCTCTCCCTAATCAGAAGAGCCAGTAAGCAGCTTAGAGCTTTAATCCCACAAATTGTCAGGCAGCTGGCACAAGAGCAGTGAAAGAGAGAAAGAGAGACCCTGCGGTAGGTTACGCTTATCGGTGAGAAAGAACAAAAACCATTGTTTTAAAACTCTTCTCAAAACAGATGATTGGCTAGAAGGTGCAGCACAAAGGAACTTGTCAGGGTGAAGGAGACACTCTGTATCTGGATTGAGCAATGTGGAAACCTAGGTAGAGGCGCAGCCATGGTAACAGTTGTATACATCTGTCAAAAACTCATCAAACTTACAATATTCAGAAAGGGTACATTTTGCTTCATGTAAAGTAGGCCTCAATAAAGTGTGTTTGATTTTAAAATCAGGATAAAGGAAAAAAAAATGTTTATCTTGGATAATGGGCAGGAGTTGGGGAGAAGGTCTTAATTATCAACATGTCCTTTTAAAAACATTTTTCAAGTGTGTAATGCTTTGATGACATTCTTAAAACACATTATACAGCAAGGCAAAGCAGCATTGCAAATCAGAGAGTTAGCATTCCAATTAATATTTTCTGTACGACACTGATATGTCTATAATCATTTGCTAAATTTAAAAATCGACTTGTACCATATTTAATTCCTTAAAGTCTAATAGATGACTGATTTCTTATACGTTCAGAACCAAGGTGTTGCTACTTTAAGAACAGCATACATAAGTGTGGTTGGCCCCCGTGCCTTTGGCTTCTGCATCTGTAGATTCAACCAACCATGGACTGAAAATATTCCAAAAATAAAATTAATGAAACAATAATAAAAATAAAACAAATAAAAATACCGTTAGCAACTGCTTACATAGCCTTTACATCGTTATTCGGTGTTATAAGTAATCAAGAGATTATTTCAATCACCATCTATGATTGGCTGATATGCATAGGTTATATGCAAATATTATGCCACTGTATCTAAAGGACTTGAACATCTGCAAATCTTGGTATCTGCAGAGGAATTTGGAACCAAACCCCATGGACACCAAGAAACGATGCTATATAAAATGCTGAGAGTCATGGAGAGTGATTTTCCGACTTCTGCCTTAAGCCCCGAATGTTAAAAATTACTGAATTTCTTCTCAGGAAGGAAATTACACCATTAAACAATATTGCCACACACTCAGAGAATGAGATGACCCAATGTCCCAGCCTGGTCATGCCACATGAGCTGAGCAGTGGGGTGGGCCACCGAGCCAGTGGTGGAAATCACAAATTACGAAACATCAGAGTGCTTTCTGGAAATAAGTCTTCCTCCCCGCCGGGAACAAGGCAATTTGACTCCTGACTGGGATACAGTACCAGGATGCTCCGAGGGTGACAGTTCTCAAGAAGGCAGAAGCAGCGGTGACCAGCAGACCTCCTTAAAGACTCGGACGCTGGGGACCTTCCTACTCCTATTGACCAAGGCCAGGATGACTGCAGCAGAGTCCCCAAGTCCTTTGAAGCAAGGGTCTAGGTGAGTTCGAAGGAGAGCCGTACATGGCCAGGCAGACAGACCCATGGCGATGGCTCACCACCCTGGTCAGGGGAATTCTAGATTTGGGCCATGTGCCAAGGTCACCTTGAGGGAAATGCTTTGCTCTAAGCTCAGCTCAAGTGTGTCTGAACCCCCCTCACTTCTTCCAACTGCAGAAGCACATGGAGAAGGGGGAGAAAGGGTTGCTAACCTCCAAAAGTGAGGGCAGCGGTGGAGATCCTCATTGGCCCAAGCGGGGTCCTGTG